ATATATAAACACAAACACACACACTATAGAATACAAAGTATCTTACGTTTTTGTATAGCCAACGAGGTGATTCGGGTAAAAGCAACATTAAGGAAAACTGAAGGATGGCTGGAATGGCAGCAATTCCAAGCATCCATCGCCATGTCCCACGAACCTGTCGAGAATTATTCAAATAAGTTAATTTGCATAAATTACATTTTCAGTCCCTGTAGTTTTAAATTTGTGGAATTAGACTTTTGGTCCATGTGCTTTTTAATTTGCAAGAAGGAAGTAAGCAAAAGACACTTTTGGTCCCTGTAGTTTTTAATTTTCATAAATTACATTTCTGGTCCCTGTAGTTTTAAATTTGTGGAATTAGACTTTTGGTCCATGTGCTTTTTAATTTGCAAGAAGGAAGTAAGCAAAAGACACTTTTGGTCCCTGTAGTTTTTAATTTTCATAAATTACATTTCTGGTCCCTGTAGTTTTAAATTTGTGGAATTAGACTTTTTGGTCCATGTACTTTTTAAGGGAAATCTACAGAAAAGTCCAAACTTTTGGGAAAAGTTTCAATAAAGTCCTAAAAGTTTTTTTTTTTTTAATAGAAAAATCTCGATTATTTAACATTTTGCCCAAATTAACGAATTTTTTTTTTATATTTGAACAGCAATTAACAGATTATATGATTTTCTCAAAATAATAGGACTTTTCTGTTCAAAAAAAAATTAGGACTTTATTGAAACTTTTTTAAAAATTTTGAGACTTTTATGTAGATTTCCCACTTTTTAATTTGCAAGATGAAATTAAGTAAAAGACACTTTTGGTCCCTATAGTTTTTAATTTGCATAAATTATATTTCTAGTCCCTGTAGTTTTAAATTTGCGGAATTACACTTTTGGACAATGTACTTTCTAATTTGCAAGAAAGAAATAAGCAAAAATCACTTTTGGTCCCTAGAGTTTAATTTTCATGAATTACATTTTTGGTCCCTGAAGTTTTTAGTTAGCATGAATAACATTTTTGGTCCATGTAATGTTAATTTTCCTTACTTTTAATCCGTGTAGTTTTCAAATTGCAAGAAATGAGTGACTTACATTTTTGGTCCCTATAGTTTGCAATGTCAGGTTTTGACATTCTTTATAAGAAGACTAAATTATGTCATCTCTCTTAAATTACACAAGCACGAGAAAGATAAAAAGATACGATTAATCTAATAAAGGTGTAAGCTTTATGAGAAAAGATTAAAATATGAATCTTTTTTACCTGTGTGAAGCCATGATTAACAAGATATGAAAGAAATTGTCCACCAGTGATCATAAGCACATTGGTGCTCACAAGCCCTCCTCTTATTTCTGAAGGTGCAGCTTCAGCAATATACATTGGAGCTGTAACAGAAGCAATTCCAACACCAATTCCAACCAATAATCGACCAAATATAAGCACATATGGATCAGGGGCACTAGCCATGACAAAAGATCCAATTGCAAAGATGACGTCCGCAATAAGTGTAGCACTTTTTCGCCCATGGGTGTCATTTATCCACCCACCAGTTGCAGCTCCGATTATGGCACCAAGTAAAGCCATGCTAACAATTGTCTCCTGTTATGTAAATCGAATTTAGAAAGTTGAAGATTTGAGAAAGGTTTTGTTGAAAGGTTTAAAGGGAAGGGCTTTTTGGTAAATCACATTGGTAAAGTCGAGGTTGTTGATACTTTGTGCTTCTAGATGCCACCGATTAAGAAGTTGGGAAGTGAACTTTTTTGTACCTGTAAGACACTGCTTTGATCGACTGCTTTAAAATCATCACGGATGTATAGAAGGGCTCCTGATATGACTCCTGAAAGAAATGCAGAAAGGTGATCTTAATAAAAGTGAGTTTGAATCCTATTAGGGGTGTTTTTGTCTTTTCACGTCTTGGAAACACTACCGAAAAAGAATATATATCGCATCGATGGAAGTGTAAAGGGGGCAATTTGGTTTAATCTTTGGTTTAGTGTGAGTACTATATGGATTCTGCGATAGCATCTGCTGAATTTTGAAAAGATAACAACTTTTTGACTAAATCGTAGAATATACAATCACATGGCTAATTATTTGAACAAGAAAATTTGCGTAAGAATCAAAATGAACACAGATATAGATACGATACATATATGCGATGTTCATGAAAAAAAGTGAATACCTGTGTCATAACCGAAAAGGAGACCACCAATGCCGGCAATTACAGTCAAGCCCAACACGTATTTGTTGCTAAAATATGTGATTTTCTTGTCACCACCAGCGTCGATTAACCCTGAACTCCCTGGTACCAAGTCAATCGTCATCTTTTCTCTGAAGAACCCTAATCTCGTTGCTAATTTTGTCAAGCAAAGAATACCGACACTTTGTTGCGATGAATTATAACAAAAAACTTCACACGGGCAAATGATCGAGCAGAAGGTGTGCAAGAGAAAAACCCAGGCAGGATTCTGGACTTCGACGTGTTTGCTTGTTTCGTTTTCAAATGAAGACCACACCCGCCTGGGTATTCAACCGATTGTTGATTCCCAAAGTTAAAATCAATATTGGGTGATTATCAAGATTCAAGAAGCCAGATAAAGGAAATGAAAATGCCGATCTTTTTTGAGGTTTAACTAATGGGATGACGGCTTGTTTGTAAAGATTTAAGGGGAGACAAGATTTGGATAAATGGTTTCTTGCAATCCCCTAAAAACTTGTGGATGATGATTTGATTTTTTTCCCCCAACGGACCCGCTTTTGAATACACAAAACGTCAAAACCTGATAAAGGAAAGATCTTTGGAAAGGAGGTAGACGACTCACGTATCAAATGTTTTTTTAAGTTCTTTTACCATGGAAAAAGTGCCGTTACATCCATTTGATGCTTTTATGAGTAAATTACCGTTTTAGTCCCTCTGGTTAGGTCAGAATGCATCTTTGACCTAATCTTTAAAATGTTGATGGATCAAATCTTGTATTTTTAACAAATTGACTATTTACTTTGCTAATATCTTTAACTTTTTATTTTGACAAAACTGCACAAATGGTCCCTATGGTTTGCTGAAAATTGTCACTTTGGTCCAAAAAGTTTTGGGCTAGCACCACAGGTCCAAAGTTTTCATTTTGTTGCGAGTTTGATCCAATTTACTTTAAAAAATTTTGTAATGACGATTTTACCCTTCTTTTTTGTTTTTTTCATTTTTTTATTTATTTAAATATTTTCGTAATTAAAAGAAAAATAAAAAAGAAAATAATTCTCTTTTTCTCATTCTCTCTCTCATATCTGAATTTTTCCTTTCACAATCTAAAATGAAATTAGGGCTTTTAATGGCACTCCCGTGTTCAATGTATGATCGGGCAATGGATAAACGCGTATAAACACAAGGTAACAGAAGGAAAGGAAGCGTCATTGCAAGTAGAGGAGAAATCGAACACCAACTTAGATTTTGGGGGGTTCGATCCTTGCTTCCTTGCTCGTCGCAGGCCAGAAAGGGGACCAATGAGGTATCGGCGATTGCAGATCGTGAGGAGGGAGATGTCTCCGGATCAACGAGAGCGAAGCGACGCAGGTGGGAAGAAGCAGCGAGCGGATGTGATTTCGGGACTGCTGGGTCGTGGATGAGTAAGGGGAAACACCCTCGTTGTGTTGAGTGAACCGAAGAAGGGAAGAAGAACGGGGCAGTGAAGCTGTCGTCGAACTTGGTGGGTTCAGCGAGGGCTGCTAAAGCAGCTCTTGGTTGCTTGTTTCTGCTCCAGCTGTGGATCGCGAGGGGGAGGAGGGAAGGAGCAATGAAACATCGGTGTAGGTGGGGAGGCTCGTGGGTTGGTCGAATGCTCACAGGTCGTTTACTTCTTCTTTTTTTTTGATAAAAATTGATAGGCTTAAGCAGGTGTTTGGGATTGATTCTTGACAGAAATTTATGAATGGAAAGACTTTTTGGGGTTAATGTTTATAGGGGATCCATGGGTGTTTGTTTATTTTGCTTGATAAAATTCGATGGGTTTAAATCAATAGCTTTAGGTTGGTGTTTTGTTTTGCTTGATAGAAATCGATGGGTTTAAATCAAATTTTGGTGTTTGGGAATGTATGAAGTTTGAAGAACATTATCTGAGTTTTCAAGAAACAAGAGAGGGAAGAGTGAATGTTGGAAGTCTGGAACCCTTGATCGAGAGAGAGAGAGAGAGAGAGAGAGAGAGAGAGAGAGGGAGAGAGAAAGAGAGAGAGAGAGAGAGAGAGAGAGAGAGGGGTATTTTCTTTTAATCATAAAAATATTTAAATAAAAAACTAAAAAAACAAAAAAGAAGGGTAAAATCGTCATTCCAAAAAAGTTTAAAGTAAATTGGACCAAACTCGCAACAAAATAAAAACTTTGGACCTGTGGTGCTAGCCCAAAACTTTTTGGACCAAAGTGGCAATTTTCAGCAAACCACATGACCATTTGTGCAGTTTTGTCTTTTATTTTCATATTTATAGTTTAAATCAAAATTAAAAAAACACCCACATAATTTATGGTCACCCAACCCTCCTCAAATCCAACGTCTTCGTTTGCTATTTCTTTTCTTTCGGCCAACGTGATGAGAGTTTAAAGCGTGTCTATTGAGCCACTAAAATATAGGACCCGATTCTTGTTTTATTTTTTGCATTTTGTATTATTTTTTTTGCCCAAATCATATTAGGTTAGGAATTTCGACCATCAGTTGAAAGTAACCGGGAACGATGCAAGATGATGAGTTGGAATCATAAATGACGAAAAACAAGAATAATAATTTTTTGGGAGAAGTAAAAATTGTTTTGGCTCCTTCATTCTTGATTATTACTGATGGCTGGTGAATCGTCAAGACTCCATGTCACTAACGATCTCCTTACTTCCTTCTTCATAAGCTTTTAACTCTTTCTTCTTTTTTTCTTATCTCTTTCTTTATCAATAATCAAAAATCAATGAATGGCAAACAAATCGTGAAGCCTTTTTAATTAAAAAAATAAAAAAAAAACTTCACAAGCAAATTGGCGTTTACTTCAAAAATCAATAAACCATAATTCAAAAATCGAAAGATATTCTTATTCCTAATAATTTCTTTATAAGAAGTAAGTTTTTTTTCTTTAATTCTTTCTCTAATTTAGAAGCTTTGAGGTTTCGAATATTAGAGCTAATCATAATTTTAGAAGAAAACAATCCTCTTGCAGTGTCGAAAATATGAAGGTATATTCATAATATTTTATCAGAGTTTTTTTACGAGAAGCAAATTAGAGTATTTCTTTTCTAAGAATGTAATATAAGAATTTTTAATCAGAATTTTTTTATCAAATGAAAATCAGAGTATTTCTTTTCTGAGAATGTAATACAACTTCTAATTTCTGTTTTTTTTTTTTTTTTTTTTTTTGTAATCTGTTTTTTACTTTCTAATTTATGAGAATGTAATAATGACATAATGTAATCTGATTTTTATAGTTCTTTTAGAGTACAGAGGTGTATTTGAGTTTCATAATCTAATGAGATCTACAAATTAATCGCCACGGTTGAAAGCAACAGTTTAGATAAAATTATTTATGAAGGTGTTGTTGAAAAATTTATTTCAACAGATATTAGAAGGACTGTTTTCAAGTGGAAACAAATTTCTTTTTTTTAATTATTTTGTACGAAAATTTTAATTTATGTATTTTGAAAAAAAATTTGCTTAAAATTTTAGATCCTTCAAGATTTATGGTCCGTTTATGTTAAATTGCACAGGGCCTTCGAAATCTCGGGATTGGCCTATCTCCTTCCCTTCTACATCACCACATCCTCCATCATCTTTTTTTTCTTTTTGTTCCTACTCTCATGATCAAAGTACTCTCTCCAAATTTTAATGAAGCTAACTCTTTTATGTTACCCAAGCCCTCAAATTTCATACACACTAGATGGAGAATCTTCTCTAGAAAAGCTATAGAGAATTAGCTTTCACATAAGCTATAAACAAATTAATCAACTTAACCTTCGTCTCTTGATCTCTTCCAAATACCAAAATTTTATCACGTTAGAATAAGCTACAACACCATTAAGGTGGTGTTTGGGATTGAGTTTGAAAATGGTTTATTGACTTATTAGCTTTTCAAAAATTCAATTAGTCTACAAAAATGTTGGCAGAGCTAATAAGCACTTTTGAGAATAGCCTTTACCACCCTTTAAAAGTCATTTTTCATAACTCACGCTTACCTGACTTTTTGAAACGGCTTATAGCCTACTAAACTAAAAGGACAATAATACCCCCAAATCTATGTACCCTTATCGTTTGCCTCCTTTTAACAATTTCAAAGCCTTCACGATATCATTTTTGGTCATTTTACATATATTATAAGTTAATCCAAACATTTTTAGAAAAAAAAATTATCTACTTATAGCTTTTTGCCACCGGATACGCTAATCAAAACACTTTTATTAGAAACTTCATTTTGCACCACATAAACTAATAAGCATTTTGATCAAAAAATCTTATTGAGATAAATAAGCAATCCCAAACACCCTAAAACTTATGTTGAATCAAGTCCTAAATGATCATACCTATTTTAAGAACAACAATCAAACAAACAAAGATTGATGTGTAACTTAGCTACAAAATCTCCGTCTGATTTGGTACTTTGGTTGTCGGTGGTTGGAGAAGAAAATGAAGGGGAATGGTGGTTTTATGGTTTGGTTTGTCGTTAGTGTGACGCTTGTTAAGAACCGAGTGTTCCAAATCAGCGTTGCTTAAATAAAGCTCCTTTAACCTATCCCAAATTTCCTTAGTCGTCTCACATGCACTCACCAGACGAAAAGTATATGGTGGAAGAGCAAACATAATTATTCTCATCGCCTTGATGTTACATAACAGTTTATCTTTTTCATATTGAGGAGTGTCTTTATGATCAACCAGAATTGCGTTTGTAGTCGGGTTGAGTCATGACGATCTTCCTTGTAGTTGTGTAAGGGAAAGTTTGTTGCGTCATAGCATCCCATATGGTTAAGTCGTGTTCTTCAAGACCTAAAACATAATCTTCAAAGTGCAAGGCCCAGACTTCATAATCCTGCGGAAAAAGGATTGGGATTCTAGTAGTACACCCGATACTGCTGGAAAGATTGAAGGAAAGAGTATGAGGATCTTCGTGCTGCATAATTTCGAGATTCACAAGAACTGTTATAGAATCAGTTGTGTAAAGCGATGATCGATTTTAGGGTTACAAACAGGATTCAGATATGTCGTTTGTAATCGATAGAAACGATCAAAACAACAAGAAAAAATCCAATAACAAATCAAAACCCTAACAAAACACGTCAGAAGAGTAGCGTATAATTTACAGAATCTCACGCTCTGATACCAATTGTAAGAACAATGAACTAAAGATTGATAGATTCTAAACAATAGATTGAATCAAACAGCAAGAACAATGATCAAAGATGTGTCGAATGCTTAATATTATCAAAGCTTTAGAAGAGTTCAACGTGAACTTTTCTGTAAAAGCTTAGTCGGGCAATACAATCGATTAACCCTAAAACAATACATGCATGCACTATAAATAGTCTAACCCTAGCAACATAAAGACGGATGGACAGGCCCAACCCGTTAACAAAAGACTAAATACGTACATAACAAAATTTGACACAATACAATAAATAACCCAACATTTTTCCTTGCACCTTGGCTTGAAGATTCGCCAACTCTTCTTCATCCCCCTTTTGGGACGATTTCTAACCCTCTTAGGGTTTATGAAATTGACTATTCTCCTAGTTATATTTATTCCACTCTTTGGTGTCATTGGGTGTGATACGATTAGAGGGATTCTGGTTTGGGTCCTCTCATCCAACCAACTTCGTGGAGGACA